CCCTTAAGTGCCTAAGCAGTATAGTGGCATTGCCGGCACGAACAAAGCTTTTGGGGGGCACTTTCTGCAAATTATATAGGTTTGAAAGATACTATCACGAATTGCTCAGACCTCTATCTTGGACCAAGATCTCTATCCCTGCTCATGACCTGAAGGCACATGATTCTGGGGCCCGGTGACCGTTTTCCCGACAACACCTCCGAAGCAAAGTCCCCACGCCGCAGAAGAAGGGAACGCCTGTGCTGCAGCTTCAACCCTCGTGCAAAACCTTAAGCAGTGAGATCCATATTTTAAGCATCCATTTTCACCTTTTTGCGGTTTGGTTTCGGCTCGTTTAGGCTTGAACTTTTAAGTTTCAGCCATTCCAAGCCCTAAAGCTGCGTGGGAGGAGATCGGTTGTGGCCCCTGGACGCCGTTGGCGTCTGAGCACAACTTCGGACTGTAGGGCATGTTGTGTCAGATTCCTTTCCAGGGGATGGACTTCGTGATTGCTTTACGATGTACATCATACCCGAAGCCCTAAACCCTAGAAGCCCGAAAGGGATTTTTTCAAGAGTCTTTGTGTGAGGCTGTCAACATGCACATGGGGCCCGGCTCTCCCTGAGCCACCTAACCCTAAAGCCTACACCCCCCAAACTCCCCCCAAAGCCGCCTAAATCCGAAATCTCGAAATCCCTCAAGCCCGAATGCCGCAGCCAAGAGCATCCCATTTTCAGCACTCTCGTCTTTGTTTCTTGGGGAGACTTGCAGGCGTTTGCAGCATGAAGCCGCCTCTTGCTGCTCTGATTAACCCTAAAACCCTAAATTCCTAAACCCCTAAACCCCGAACCCTAAACCCAAAGCCCCGAAACCCCTAAACCCCTAAACTCCTAAACCCTAAGCCCCGAAACCCTAAACTCCTAAACTCCTAAGCTCCTAAACCCCTAAACTCCTAAACCCTAAATCCCAAGCCCCAAAGCGCGAAGGGCCGGCCCCTACAGCCTTGCAGGTATCCTAGGTAGTATTAGGGTTTAGGGTATTAGGGTTTAGGGTTTTAGGGTTGTA